CCCCCCGCCCCATCTCCATCCACTGCGACGGATGCAGAAAGCCCGGGGCTCCCTGCGCGAGGGCACAGCGATCCCTCATTACCAGGAAACGCTGCCCTTCCTCCGCTGCGGGACGGGAGCTGGAACGCAGCCCTGGGCGGAGAGCTTCCTCGCTGCCAGCTCCGATCAATCGCCGAGCTGAGAGCGCAAAGCCAGCTCCGCTGCGCTGCCCGAGTCATGCTTCACACACCAGCTTGTTGGCACTCGCGTTAGGAAGCCCCATGGCCACACCGGGGCTGACACCCCTCCAGTGTCATCCCAGGAAGCCGTCGGGTGTCCATGGGCAGTGATGAAGCACAGACCTGGGTTTCACCAGGGTTAGTGGTCTGTCGCCCCAGGGGCAGGCAGGGGCTTGTGCTAGCCACATCGTTTCAGATACTTTACAAAACTGGTGCTAATCTGCGCTTGGCTACTGCAGCAGCTTTCCTTTGGAAACACCCTGCATCCAGAGTCCAGGGAGGAGCCTGCTTGAAGAGGAAATTGCATTTCGAAACAGGAGGAATCCATGCCTAAACCTGGAGGCAGTCGATATCTCATTGAGATCCTTTTATTTACAACTCCCTTTAGAGCAACCTGCTGTTGTTGGTTAGACTGGAAAGAAGTTAATCTTTACTGAGAAGTTTATTTAAGAGAGTCTTGATTCAATCTCCAGTTCCCTCCTTCCAGATCAACAGTCGGCCCCAAGCCAGAGGAACAGACTATGTTTCCAAGAGCCATCTGCACCCGTCCGATTGCTGTTTGACTGCCTGGGCTTGACGTTGCTAATTATATCTGCCCATTATTTCCTCTGACAGCAGAGACAGTTCTGCTGGGTCAGATTATCAGTCTTGGCAACAACAGCCAGAAAAGATGAAAAACAACTCGGGGTGGGTGGGCGGAGGGAGGGACACACTTCAGGTTTGCCTGAGGCAGAGAAGCTAAACCCAGGTCTGACACAGAACACTCTGCAGCTAGACCACCCTTTGGTCTCAAGCATCAGAAGACAATCAATAGCACAAAAATAAGTGATATTGTATTATCTGCCTGGATCAGATAATTTACAAGTGGCAAAGCCAGCATCATGGTTCAACATAGTCCACTCCACACCAGGTAGGGCCAGGAAGATGGGTGTAGCAAACCTCAGGGGCTCTTCAACAAAGCCAAGACAACTCTCTGTCCTCTTAAATACGCCAAAAACTTGGCAAAAAGCCCACGGGTGTCAGCACAATCACTTCCATGGGTGGCCCAGTGCTGTAAGGGTCCCTTGGGGATGCAGACCTTATGCATGTCCCTGCTGCAGTTGAGGCTCTGGAGCTTGGGGAACAACCTCTGACCCATCACAGCTCCAGCAACATTTTGCTCCCTTTTCCAAGTCACAAAGAGCAGCGAGGAGCTGCTGCTGAATGAGGAGAGCCTCACAAAGCCAATTTCTCCTTTCCTACGGCAGGCAATAGCACTACACTAGAAAACATTTGGCCCTGCAGATTAAACTGCACTCAGGAAGAAGACAGCTTTCCTATCTATCATAATATTGATAAGTGTAATGCAGCCTAATGAGACAACACAGATTGCTGGCAAAAGACAGGGCACCAGCACAGCCTGGCACTGCTCCAAGGGCTTCATACTGCTTTTCGGCTCTGAGGGACCTGACCCGTTACAGATAAGTGGTATCAGCAGCTTTATCAGAGCCCAGCAGCCTGACACCTGCATCACCCTCCTCCCCTCACACACCAACGAATGTCTTTCCTCACCACTGAAAGAAAACCACTTACCCTCCCAGCCTCCCTCAGATCCCAGCAGAAGATCCTTGCAGCCAGTGAGCAGTTTATAGCCCCGAGCAAGCACTGACCAGCTGAAATCCGTGCAGAGCAATGAATTCAGAGGAAATGACCTGCAAACAGCAGGAGCGATTTCAAATGCACCTGCAATTTAGCCCCATTGTTTGGTCTCATTGCTGGTAGACTGTGTCTCTGATAGCTTAATTACTTGCCTATTTGCCCTGGGAAGTACAGCTCTAAGAGTGGAGGATTTACAGCCAGATCAGGAGTTTCTACTTCACTGTCTCCCTTGCCCAGTCCTGCTCATTCTCAGCCCAACCCCATTAACCCGACATAATGTCTCCCTGATCTGCCCTTACAACACTTTCTGGGGGAGATCTGAGCCCCACCAAACTCATTCCTCACCTGTGAATTAAGGAGCCAAATTTCATCCTCTAAATCTGTTGAATTTTGCTTTCTTAATTTCACTGCAATCACTAACCCATGCCTTAGCCTTTTCTGGCTGAGGAGCCCAGCCTAAGGCACAGCCCAGAGTAAACCCTCTACCACCACCAATTCTGTAAGGATTTCTCTCTCTTACTCACTTTGCCAAGAGAGGAGATCTGGGAATGATCTAGGTTTATCTCGATTATCTGAGATGGCAGCAGAAGGGAGAGATGCATGCTCAATCAGCCAGCACTAAAGGAGCTGCATTAGCAATTATTATATTCAGCCTTATCTCCTAAGGACAATTTCACCAAAGTTGCTAAATCTGACCCTGAAAGTGCAGTCTGAAACACCCAGATTATTTTTTTCAAAGGCTCTAAGTTAAATAACAGAACCATGAGGGTGTGGGGTAGGTGCATGGAGGGGTGGTGTTGGAAATGTCACTGAAGCCCAGAGCAGAGGGGGACTCTGGAAAGGCTCAGCTGTGGCGGTGGGGAGTGAGGTGGAGTGGGAGCTGGGGAAGATCTCTTGGTGCTGGGCCATGCACTGAGGAGTGCAAGCCCTGATTGATTCAATTACTGCATGTCCCAGGAGGGCTTTGATCCTTGACTATGAGAACAGCCTGGCCAAGTGTCAGGTAAAGGGCAGCTCCTGGGGCACGCAGCAATTTACCCCATGGGTGCTCCTTGCTCCCAGCCCTGCCTTGAGGGGAGCTGCACATTACTGTGGGGTGCAGTGAGGAGGAGCTGCCTTGCTTTGAGGTCATACTCCTTTCCCTTCCCTTTAACAGCCTGTCCCAGGCAGCAGCTATCAAACCCTGTAGGAACAGGTCTTTATGTAGACACCAGCTTTTAGGACAGAATAGCAAAGTTCCCCAAATCTTCACATTTCTCCCCCATTTCAGGATTTTGAAAAGGGAAATGAAGGTTCTGTTTCCATAGCTCATGAACCTGCACTGAGCAGTTCTGTGCCTGGCCCCTCGTGTCTAGGAACGGGCATCCCCTGCAGCTCTCCCACCCCCCGGGGTGTGTTTCCCCACCACTGCCTGAGTTCCCTCTGCCTCTCCCATTGAGACTCCCTGTATCCTGCTGCTTATCCCGAACCTGCCATGAGGTTATTAAATTATACAAGATCAGAAGATTTGGGATGCACTTAAAATATCCCCCAATAAGGGGGTTAAAAGCACAGAATCCTTGGTCCAGGCTGCAGGGGACCAGGGGATGTGACGCTGTTCTCATCCTCTGTGGTTCTTGTGCTCAGCAATAGGGACCATAAGGGGAGGTTGGCATTCGGTCAAAGATGCGATCTCCATCCCCTGCTCGGCCCCAGTGACTCCGAGGTGTCCCAGGAAGGAGGTGGTACTATGGTACTATGGTCGGTGCAGTCACCCCTGTTCCACACAGCCCTCAGACTTCTGTTCTGTTTTTCTCTGTCTCCTTGGGTTTTTACACAGAGTGAAGAGACTGAAGGGCAGGGTGAGGTGGAGAGAGGGTCCCAGGGCAGCCTGGCTGCAGGGCATCCCACCCTACCCCCTCCAGCCCAGCCTTACAATGTAGACGTCAGGATTTCAGCTGCCATCCCAGACAGGGGTCCTCCAAAGGGAAAAGCCCCCCTTTGGGTAGGTCTCATCATCCACCCAAATATAATCACCCTGCTGCGAAATGTAAACCGACGCAGCAGTTTTCAAAAGAGGAAGAAAAACCACAAGGATGGAAAGAAAAAGCAGTGGGGAGCTGCTGCACAGAGGGCCTGTGGACAGCCCTGCAGCCGCAGCCTGGACAGTGCACGGCCAAGATGAAGCTCAAGCCAGGGAGGAGTTCAGCTCCATCCCTGCCCCACCACAAGCCAGGGGAGCTCCTCTGGGGGCTGCTTGCTCCTCAGTGTCTGCGAGAAGCTCCGGTGCCAAATGGGGAGTGGAAGTAAAGGGGGAGCTGCTCCCAGGAACAGCACCAGCGAGGCAGCCATGCTCTCAATTTTCCTCTGAGCCCCAGCAAGGTCATACGTGGGATAAAAAAGCCCCACGTCATCCCAAGCACCCTGTCCTAGTGAGCACCATCAGCAGACCTGACCCCCACCACCCAGCCACAGCCCTTGGTGCTGTACAGCAGATCCAGGAGGTGTCCGGATCGCTCCCACTCCCCCCTCTCCGTATGTCTCACGTCTCCCACTTCCCCCCAGACCATCTCAGTGCTGCAGACCCCATCAGAGCCTGGGACTAAGGCTAGGGCATATCCCCAAAGGGATTAAAAGAATTTAGGTGTGCCAGTTTGCAAAAAAGGATCTCATCACCTTGCTGCCCACAGCAGAAAAACCCCAGCCCCGAGGCGAAGCCCGGCCAGATAAAAATAACCCGGCAGCAGAGGAGTGTGCGCTTCGCCGCTGCCTCTCACACGAGCGAAAAAGTAACGCCGAGAAGAGCACAGCAGAGCACCGAGAGCACGCAGCAGCTCAGTGTCCGCCGGCTCGCTGCGCTGCACCGGAGGCTGATGCTCGCGGGTCTCTGGAGCAAAGCGGCACGATGGGGATCCTGCCAGGCTGGGGCTGGCTCTTTCTCCCAGGTGAGGAAAGGCTCTGACCGTGCTGGCGGTGCTCTGGCTCCTGCTAGCACCAAAGGCCTGGGGGTGCTGTGCCCTCCCGGGGCCGTGAGCTCCATGTCCGGCACCGACAGAGCTGCAGCCTCATGTCTGGGGCTAAAAGCTGGCAGATGGGGTCTCCCCCAAAATGCTTCTTCCCAACAGCAGCTGAGGAGGGAAGGCTGGCTTTGCAGCCTTGTCTACAGTGTCACTGCGGGTTTCTTTGCAGTTTGCCAGGCCCTGGTGGTCCCCAGGGAGGTCAGTGGCCAGATAGGGGAGACGCTTTCCCTCCGCTGCTGGTACCCCCGGGGCTATGAGAGCTACAACAAGTACTGGTGCCGGGGAGCCAGCCGGGACTCCTGCCGCAAAGTGGTGGAGACGGCGGGCAGGGAAGTGCCCCGGCAGCACGGCCGGGTCTCCATCCAGGACAGCTACATCTTCTGCGTGGTCCTGCTCACTGTGGAGAACCTCTCCAAGGAGGATGCTGGGAGTTACTGGTGTGGGGTCGAGAAGACAGGCAGGGACATGATGGAGCCAGTGACAGTGAAGGTGATCCCAGGTAAGCCCTGGTGTCCAGCTGGATGGAGGTTTTGTTGGCCAGGACCCATTTTTGAAGAGGCCGTTTGCTCGTGGACTAGCAGTGACCTGGGAAGAGGCAGCAATGCAGAACAAATTCCCTGGGACCCTGTACAAACTAGTGACAGAGGTAGGGAGGGGTGACAGGATTCTTTCTGCAAGGGATGCTTACAGATGGAGGCAGAGCTTTCTAGAGCCCAATGCAGGGTCCAGCCCCGGGCTATTTTTGGGGTTCCCGGCACTCATCGCTGCGCAGGCAGGACAGCAAAGCCACTGGCTACACGCAGCAGCGAGCGCTAATGCTGACCCCCAGCGCTGTGGCCAAACCCAGCCTCT